CCCGCCAGCCCCTCAAGCCATCGTCCCGATGGACCCAAGGCCGGTCATGCACTAGCAATCAAATCGGACCACTCAGGTGGGGTCGATCAAGGGGAACACATCACACATCACAAACCCAACTCAACTAGCGGGCAGTGCGATCGGCGCAAACGCCGTTGCGAAGTGATACAGCATGCTTGACGGTACTTGTGAGCGCAGCGAAGCTCCAGCAGCGCATAACTCATCAAGCCAAAGGCCGGGCGAGGCCGGTTCGATGTAATCGTCGAAAACGCTGACAATAAGACCATCGACGGCACCCGGTGCGCTCGCTTCGACCACATGCAGCTTAGCGCGAATCCGCTCAAGCTGGGGCCACAAGCGGCTGTTGCCATTCAGTACGGTTCCCCGCTGCGTAATTGCGTTGACTACCCGTCCATGGGAGCCCGTGCCTGCGTTATCAGCGAATGAGACTAGGCGATTACACCAACTGCGCGTGTCGCGACCAGAAAGCACATCAAGGCGCTTAAGCAGGTAAGCCCACTCATAGCAATGCCCTGGCTCGACGCGAGCCTGATTTTGATCGGGAACAACGGCCCAGTCTGAATCAAAGTCTTCAAACATTGCACCGGTCTTACTTGAAAACATGTAGTCTTCAAAAAGCGTTGCGATCTCCTCGGCTCGATCGAGGGACCGCCGATCGAATGTTGCCTCAAACATGGCCAAGGACGCCTCAAGCAGGTGCATGTGCGGATTGGCTAATCGTTCAAACGCCGGCCCGTCAGGATCGCTCCAACCTTCGCCCGAGCCATCGCGAAAGACGCTGTCGATGAGGTCGAACGCTTCATTGGCGACGTCGAGGGCCTGGCGAGAGCCGATGGCCCGGTAGGCGTGCGCACCCGCCATCGCCACAAAGGCATGATCATAAAGCGACCTCTTTGCGTCAGCGATTTCACCGTTGGGCCCGGTAACGGTGGCCCAACCACCTGCTGGCGAACGGGCAGATTTATCCAAATGGGCAATGCCTTTCGCAACAATCTCGGAAGCGGCGCCTTGGGGGTCCCAACCTCTGAGAACCGCTTCCGAGAATGCAAACACCTGACGTGGGGCCACACGACCGCGCCGTGGCAGAGAAACCAATGGCGTTCCCTCTTCATCAAGCGCCTCGACAAAGCCGCCACTGGGATCCCAAGCACGTTCGAGCCATTGCGGAAACAGCGTCTCAAAAAGCCAGATTCCAACACGTTGCCGGACGTCTGGGCGGATCTGCGCATTCACTGCACGGGCTTCAACGCCTTCAACCAGTTCTTTGACGTTTGCAGCTTTGTCTGTTCTCGTGACCAACACCGCATCACGGGTTGCGACAACCGCCAAATCTGAAACACCATAAAGACCTACAATCGGGCCATCGCTACGCACGAAACACTGCTCACTTTCGATAGCGAGCGTTGGCCCTATCGACCCACTTGGCGTGCCAAGCGTCAGAGCCTTACTGAGGGCCGCGTGATCGCCAATGTCACTCCAACCCATTGAGACCGGGACAACACTGATGTTTTCGGCCTTCTCCATGACCGCATAGTCGATCGATTCTGATCGACAGTTGGCGAAGTGTTCTGGATTCAAAATGGTCACGTCATCTTTTACGGCCTCAAGTGCGAGATCGACGCTTTCGAGAATGTCAGGAGCATGTTTATTGAAGCTGTCCAGCATCACATCGACTCGAAACATAAAGATGCCCGAATTCCAGAAATGATTGCCCTGATCTATCATGCGCTTTGCTGACACACTGTCAGGTTTTTCAACAAACCGCCGTACTGGACGCACGTTTGCGCCGAAATCCTCCGACTCGATGTAGCCATAACTAGTTGCTGGACGATCAGGCTCAATCCCAAAGGTGATCACTTGGCCACGCTGAGCTTCCATGTAAGCAGTCTCGATAGCGCTTATGAAGGCAACAGTGTCAGCAATATCGTGATCTGCAGGCAGCACGAGCTGTATCAAATCTTCGCCGCCGACCAGGGTTGCTGCTGCGATGGCAGCTGCAGAGTTGCGACCAAACGGTTCTAGAATCAGTCGGGCATTTGGGACCGACTGTCGCATAAGGGCCTGATAACGCTCTGCACCAACTACAATGGGCGCGACAAACCGTGAGGGATCGCCTACGCGGGCCGCCGTTAGGGATAGCATGGACTCGGGCGCAATCAGCGGCAAGAACTGCTTAGGATGTGAAGCGGTCGAAAGAGGCCAAAGACGCGATCCAACGCCGCCACACAAAACAACAGGCTGTATACGCATTACTGTTTATCTTCAATTCTATTGAAATTTATGAAAAACAATTTTTGACCTTTATAAATCAAAATTTCTGAGGATAGGTAGACAGTCAAAGACTATGATGGTGTGCGAGGAAGTGTCGAAGGTATTTCCTTATGACTAGGCAGCGCGGCTCTAATAGCAACGACAACCAGTCCCATAAACACACCTAGCAACCCTCCAAGCGCAGCAAACAATTGAATGGACCAACGCGGTGTCAGGCTGATCCCGCTGTCAATGTATTGGATGAGGCTGGAAGCTTCGCCGGCTAACGGAGAGGCGGCCAAAGCTTCACCAATCAATTGCGCCTCGTTCACGCGCTCAAGTTCTTGGATCTCCAGCACAATCCGGTCAGAAGCAGGTGAACTGAACCCTTCAACCATCTGCTTTTCAAGCAAACGTATTTCATTTTCCAAAGCCAAGTATCCTCGGAGATAGGGCAATGCCAAACTTGCCTCCGCCACCAACTCCGACGGATACTGAATGTTGAGTCTGCGCGCAACAGCTTCGTGGTCTCGCAAGATCGGCAAATTGCGTTCGACGAACTGACGCTGCTCGGAAATTGCAACTGTCAAACGCTCATTAAGCCTTGCCCGCATCATAATTGACTGTGAATTACGAACATCCGAGAATCGCTCGATTGTGCTCGTGACATTTGCAAGCGCTCTTTTGGCAGCGAGAGCCTCTGCGGTACTGACAAAGTCGAAGACCGCAGCACTCCCAGCGTCTATCTCAAAGACCACCCGCCAAACGGCGCTTTCAACGGCCGCTTGAGCTTCTGGATAGCTGACCGACATCCGACCGGCAAAGCCACTAGCAGCGTTTAGCGCTGCTTCGCTGCTACCGAAGTCCTTGGCATTGACCACGCCTGAGTTGAGCATCGCGGGCCCCACAACGTCCGGAGCGGTGAAGGAATCAACGAAGGCGCTTACGACATTCATTGGGGTGATCGCTAGCGAACCTCCGTCGGTAACTGTATTCGCCAGCTGCGCAATTGAAGTCAGGTTTTCAGCGCCCGCATCTTGGCGCGCCAGAGCTTCGTTCAGTTCGATGAAATCCCTTCCAAACTCAAACTGATCGCCGGCGAAAGCAAATGCTACCTCCACGCGGACGCCATCGAAGCGCACAAAACCTAGCACTACGGCCGAGAAAATGCCCAGGAGTACGGACCCGATGAGGATCCATCGGCCGGACCAAATATGGCGAGCAATCTAAACGACATCGAACTCCACATTCATCGATGAAGGCTCATTGTTGTTGCCTTGCATGACTGCCTTCCCCTTCGGCCTGAATTGTACGATGTCGCTCACTATTGAGTCCAAAAGAGCGGGTCAATGGGCCCAGTTTGTCGGAAGTGGGCGGCTCCAACAGCCTTTCCTGATGCTATTGTGTGCTTTTCGGTTTGAGGTCACGGAAACGTTTGACAAACAGATCCAAAACGAGCGGCATAGCCACTAACGTCTGAGTTGAAGCAACGGCCAAAACCATCCCCGTGTAGACAGACGCGCCCATCATCGTTAACGAAATGCCAACAGCTAGAGCAAAAAGGGCTGCTGGCACATATCGCCACACGAATCGATAGTCACCGCAAACAACTAAAAAGTTGACTAAAGTGAAGATGCACGCTTCGATTGCCAACGCGCAAAACACAAGCGCGATGTTTGAAAATGCCGGCAGAGAAATCTCCGAGTTGATAACGGAAAGCGCGGGCCCTGCGAACAGCACCAAGCCGACAAAGACGCTAACGAACGTGAGTGTCAAGAACCCAATGCTGAAGACCAAACTGGCTCGAACCGATTCCTTGTCCCGATCCAGAGTTGCGCGAGTAAGGTGACTTAGCCTGACCTGCGCGGGTATAACGGAGATCGTGTAGATGATTGCAGCGATCTGTATCAGAAGGCCATAAGAGCCAAGATCAGCGTTTGGCACAATGACCGGCGCAACCAGAAAAGCCCCCTTGTAAAGCATAAAGGCGGCGACCGTGAAGGCCGTGTAACCAATGACATCACGCACCCGTCCGGCGACAAAACCACCAGTAGCTTCAGCGCGTTCCGGGACAGGCTCCTGCATAACGCGGCGTGCTTTCATGCCTATCACGGCAACATTGATCAACACGCTTAGCAAGAAACTAACGGTAATCCCGAGGATCGCAAATCCCTGATAAAGAAGCAGCGAGGTCAATGCAAAGTTGATGATGCGAGATGCCGCATTCGACAGATTGAAAAAGTCCGTCTGGGCCGTGGATAGAAGGATGCAGCTATTGCGGCCGAATGCATAGTTTAACGCATAGGTAAGAACAAATATACCCCAGGCTAGTGGCCAGGGGCCCGATATTGCGATATCAGTCAACCAAGTGAAATAAATGAACCCAAATGGGCCAATGACGATAATAACGCCGGTAGCAAGAAGCAAATAGCGCCATGTTGCCGCTCGGACCTCTCTGCGGAAATCCCCTTCATCCCCGCTGTGCCAAGCCCTTGCCATACGCCGAACGGACACAATTTGAAGTGACAGTTCGAGCTGAATCGTGAGCGCTCCGAACGTCGCGATAACAATCCAGGCGAGGAAATCGCTTGCGCTCAAGAAGGACAAAAAAAGAGGTACGCTGAGAACGCCAACGAGCAGACTTGTTGATTGAAATATCAGCGCCGCAATCATCGCCGCTCACCTACCGTCAAGTTGGCGCGACGGGCTCAGGTTTGGCAAACCGCCGTTCACGATTCAGTGGAGAACTCCACTTGAGCGGCCTCATACGTCGAAGCCAAACCTGCCTCAAGCGCAATCTGAGGCTGCCAGCCGAGCGTGGCCAAACGAGACGAGTCCATGAGTTTGCGCGGTGTGCCATCCGGCTTGCTAGTATCGAAACGAAGCTCACCTTCAAATCCGACAACATCGCAAATCGTGCGGGCAAGCTCCGCGATGGTGACGTCGTATTCAACACCAACGTTGATCTGTTCACCGGCACTGTAATGCTCCGTCAGAAACACGATCGCGTCGGCAAGATCATCTACATGCATGAACTCACGGCGCGGGCGCCCGCTACCCCAGACCTCCATCTCGGACTTTCCAGCGATCTTGGCCATGTGTGCCTTTCGCAGGAGAGCCGGTATCACATGGCCTGTTTCAAGTGAGTAGTTGTCGCCAGGTCCATACAGGTTCGTCGGCATCAGAGAAATGAAATCGCGGCCATACTGCTTGCGGTGCGCCTCGCAAAGCTTGATGCCCGCGATCTTTGCGATCGCATACCACTGGTTCGTTGGCTCCAGCGGACCCGTGAGCAGCGATTCCTCTGAAATCGGCTGATCAGCATGTTTCGGATAAATACAAGACGATCCGAGCAAGACAAGTTTGCCAACGTCATTTGCCGCCGCGCTGTGAATGACATTGTTCTGAATCATTAGATTGTCATACAAGAATTCGACCGGATAGCTGTCATTCGCCAAAATTCCGCCGACAACGGCCGCCGCCATAATGATGACGTCTGGCCTCGCTTCCGCGACGAAATGGGCGACGGCATCCTGCCGCATCAAATCCACATCTGCACGGCTCGCCGTGATGATTTCTGCCAGATCACCACGTCTCTCAAGCCGCCTTACGACCGCAGAGCCCACCATACCCCGATGGCCCGCAACCCAAACGCGCTTGCCAGTCAAGTCAAACAGGCGATCACCCATCTGGCATTCCTCTAAGTTGGACCGACGGAATTGAAGACCCGTCGCGTGAGACCACGAAAAAAGGGCCAACACCAATCAACCAGTTTCAGAAAGAAGCGGATCCTCAAGCACCGCTCGGTTCAATCGAAAATAGAGTACGCTAGGTGTCTTCGATCCTAGCTTCAGCACCACCGCGAGCAGCGCAACGACCGGGTTCATGAACCTGCGATAAACGCTGTATAGCTTTGCGTTCAAGGCGAGCTTCTGACTGAGCGAACCAGTCGAAAATCCTCCCAACTGCATCAATGTCGTCAATCGTTCATCGGTTTTGACACGCGGCCGTTTGTCGAAGACCGCCAGGAAATAACCGATATCTGCAACCGGGTGACTGATGTCAAAGCGCTCTTCTTTGAAGATCGCGGCACGCCCAAACGTCGAAAAATGCGGATTGTGCAACCCGTAGCGCACCAGCCCGTGTCCCGATGGCCATGCACGCGTAACACGGCTGATTCGGCGGCCATCCATCATCGCAGTTGCTCCGACGAAGATATCGTGCGTCGCAAGGGCATCAATTACTTCGCTTGCTTTCACGTTCTCGGAGAATATGTCGTCACTTCCAAGCCAGCCGATTACGTCGCCATCAGCGCTGGCGAGACCCTTGTTAAGCGCATCGAAAATGCCACGATCCGGTTCAGAGATAAGGGTATCGTTCGGGCCGAGAGCAGCCCGAATCTGATCAACCAAATCGGTCTTAGAAGCCCCGTCCACAACGACAAGCCGCGTCGAATCAACGTCATCGAATCGGCGGACCGACTCGATTGCGTTCAAGATCCTCGGATCGTTGAAACTCAGAACTATGACGCTGATCGTACTCGACATTGTGGGAGATCAGTACCGGTCAGGCAGAATTGGAACGGTGGTGCTGGATGACATGGTCGATGAGGTCGTAAACACCGTCCTTGAGCGTCGTTCCGACTGACCAACCAAGCTCATCTTGAGCAAGCGCAGGATTTGCAAAACGTCCAATGTCGCCAACTGGCTTTGTTGTATCATAGACAATGTTGTCAACTTCGATCTGGTCGTGCGACGCGATCAGCTCTGCAAGCTCTCCAATCGGAGTGCAGAAGTTGGGCCCAATCATGAAGTTCGACCGATCGCCCTCATAAGACAAAGATCTCGTTACGGCTTGCACGACGTCGCTGACGTGAACAAAAGCGCGTCCCTGCTTGCCATCTCCCCAAACCGTCAATGTGCGGTCCGGCGACGTAATTGCCTTGTATATCAATGCTGGCATGACCTGGGCTGTGCGATCCTGATAAACACAGGGCCATCCGTAGACATTGTGCAAATCAAGCACGGTCAGGCGCGAACGTGTTCCCTTGACGGCGAGGTTGAATTCCACGTCGCCTAGCAACTTGCTCCAACCGTATCCCGACTCTGGATCGGCCGGAAACTTGTCTTTTTCTTCCAACACGGAAGCGTCGGTCGAACGCTGCAACCCTTGCGGATAAGAACAAGCCGTACCCAGATAGATCAGTTGCGCCGGCTGCGCCCGCTGCAAAATTCGCGCGATCTGGGTATTGATCAGCATGTTCTTCTGGAAGATCGCCCACTCATTCTGAAAGACGTAGCCAATGCCGGCAACGATATCGGCGGTATGTACGATCACCGAGTCTTCGCCGACGTCGCGGTGCCAGTCCTGGTCCGATGCAATGTCAGCATGGCGGAATTCAAAATTCTCGCGGTCGGCGAAGGGGGCCAGATTTTTTGGCGTGCCACGCCAAAAATTATCGACACCAACAACATTCTCACCTGATGACACAAGGGCCTTGCAGATGTTGCTGCCGATCATTCCGGCCGCGCCGGTGACGTAGATCGTTCCGCTCATGTTTGAACCAATCTCAATCTGCTTTCTCTGTGCTGGAACACAAAGTTGTTGACATAACTATCATTCGAATGAGCCCCGAAGCGCGCGCCGTCATTGCGGAAGTCTTCTGGCGCTTCCATTTGCGCGATCTCGTCCACGGCAATTGGGCCGAAGGTTCCGTTCCGCCAAGCAAAAACGGAGTAGCCCAACTCTGCCAGAACGTCAAAGACGTGGCGAAAATCCGGATTATGACGAGCCTCGATCTCAGCGATCACGATGGGTCGATGTTTTTTGATCGTTGAGAGCGCACCATCGATCACGGCGTTCTCAAAACCCTCTACATCAATCTTCAAGACATCAACGTGACGATCGGCGTCGAGATGCGACGCTAGGTAATCATCGATGGAGTGGACGGTGACGGGGGTCCGTGCCACGGGCCCATTTCCGACAACCGGATTCGCCTCACTCAAAGTCGCCTGATGCCGTGCATCATTGTCATCGCCCGGTGTAAGCAAGTCCATCGTGCCGGGGGCGGCACCAACTGCAGCTTTGACCGCAGTCACCCGCGAGCCCCAATTGGCAGCCGACAAGTTCCGGTAGTGGAGGTCACCTGGCTCAAAGGCAAAGACATCTCGGGCTTTCCGGCTCAAAACCCAAGTGTAGGAACCAAGGGCCGCCCCGACATCAATAGCGACATCGACAGAACCTGATGGCAGTTCGGAGAGGGCACGCAGTTCCATCTCGGGAAAGTGAATTCGGCTCCAAACCAATCGGCGGAAGGCACTGTCCAATACGGGGATCGAAGCGACTAGTTTTCGAATGGTTTGGCGCATCAGGTGGCCTCGTTTGGTCGCAGGGTCGGAATCAGTTCAGACATCTGCTGAATGATCCTTTCAGGACCAAATCGGGACGCATTTATAGCCGCCCTGCGGCCCACAGCGGCAAAGAGCGCGGGATCGGCCAAGTATCGGTCAAGGACCTGATGAAGCTCATCATCACCGTCATAAATTGTCACGGCTGAAGGACCGAACGTCTCTCGCATTGAAAGAAAGCAGCCGCGGCCGGTCGCAACAACATGAACATTCGCTGCAATAGCATCCATAAGAGCAGCCGAGAGCGAAATGTCGTAGGCCTTCTTATAAGGGAAAAGGGCAATGTCACATTCCGCAATGGCTTCTGGATAGGATTGCGGCGACGAAAGCTCCGTTTTCGATCCGTCGATCAGCTTTTCTACATATCCCTGCCCAATTGCTACCCAATCGAAGTCGGCACGCCTCTTGGCAGCAGCTTCAAAGATATCGAAACCCTTGAATTCACTCCGAAACCCGAGGAAACAAACTGTAGGCGCCTCATTTTGCCGATCGCTCAATCGTTCGGGGACCTCGACGATCGGCATACAAACTGTCGTTACGTCACCGGACCCCAATCGGCAAGGGGCCAGATCGAGCAATGCATCGCGGATGAAATCATCGATCACGACAAGCCTTATGGGGCTGTTGGCCGGCCGCATCTGCCACCATTTTCGACACCAGTAACCATAGGTGGAAATGCCTTGGCGGATCTCGGGATCTATCAATGCCTCCAGCTCTGCATGCAACACGACATGCACGTGGGGCCGCCTGACAATGCGGCAGTACCATTCGAGCAAAAACAGTGCTGGTGAAAGAAGGCAGGTAATCACCAAGAGATCATCGCGTTTCTTGGACGTTACAGCCCATGCGGCAACCATGAATTCCAGCAACGTCTTGAGCGCCAAACGCCCCTTCGTCGGGTCCATCACCGGCACTGCTCGATGGCCCACCAATTGCTGAACATCTTTTGGGAGGCTGTCGAAAAGGCTTTGCGCGGCGAGGACCAATACCTCACCGTGCTCCTGTCCAAGCAGCGCCCGCACGTAACCCTCAATGAGTGTTATGTGCTGCGTTCCGACCTTGCTTGGTTCAAGTATCGTCAGCTTACGCTTCATCGGCCGGACAGATCTCCAACTGAGGCAACACATAGACGCGAGCAACACCCTTGTACCGATCCTGACGCTCAAAAAAGCTACGGAAATGCCAAGGCAAGACGATTGCGTAATCGGGCCCCTCGGCCAACACCTCTTTCTCATCACGGATCGGTAGATGGGAGCCCGGCGTAACCCTGCCAAATTTGTCCGGATTGACTTCTCCCACCGCCGAAATCTGGCTTTCATCAATATTGCAATATTGCAAGACCACGTTGCCTTTGGTCGACGCCCCCAGGGCAACAACGGACTTCTCTTCCTCATTGGCTTTTTCCAGGAACGCCAAAAGGTCGGAACGGGACGTCAGCACGCGATCGCGGAACTTCTCATACGTTTCGAGATCATCCAGACCTTGCGAGCGTTCCTTCGCTCTAAGCTCAGAAACAGCCGAAGAAACCGGCAGCGAGCCGTTCGTCTTCTGCACGACTATCGAGAAGCTGCCCCCATTGACATCATTGAGCGCCACATCAACGATCCGCATGGCGCATCGTTCGACAATCCAATCAATCTGAGCCAGGGCATAGTATTCAAGATGCTCGTGACACACTGTATCATAGGAATTCGTCTCCAACATCAGCGGCATGTAGCTTTGCTCGAGTACCCAGATACCGTTTTCGTCGATGATCTCGGAGATTTCTCGAACGAAAGCGATAGGATCTTCAAGGTCGTAGAACATTGAAAACGATGTGACGACCTTGGCCTTACGGTCACCGAAGTGCCGCCTAAAGGCGTCAGCATTGAAGAAATCCGCTATCGCCTGGACACCTTCGGGATAATAGTCACGAAACTTCGCCGACGTCGGATCCATCCCAACCAGCGTCAAATCAGACCGCTCATACTGGGCAAGCGTCGTGCCATCATTGCTTCCAATGTCCAGCACCAAATCACCAGCTTCTAGAACTCCGAGTGCTTTGATCGCATCAACTTTGGAACGCAAATGAGCCACCATCGACGGATTCAGCCCAGATCGATAGCCGTAGTTGTCGCCGTACATTTCAGACAACGTAAAAGAGTGCTTTAGCTGCAGGAGCCCACAGACATCGTCCCCAACGCACTTGACGAGCGTCAGCGGCCCAACAGAGAGCGGGTCGG